GAGCCCCTCAAAGAAACAATTAACAAATTTATTTTTTCACTCACTCAGCCCCTTTTTCTAAATGCCAATTGAGTATCAAAATTTTTTCTTGTCTACTCAGCCCACTGAAGTCACAATAAAATAATGAAAGCAGCCTGTGACTCAGCAAGTTTAATCACATAGAATGTTTATATCTTGGCAAATAATACAGTCAACACATTTATACGTGTCATATTTCTTTTTTTTGCATTTTTAGTAGAGTTGGGGTTTCAGCATGTTAGCCAGGCTGGTCTCGAACTTCTGACCTTGTGATCCACCCACCTTGGCCTCCCAAAATGCTGGGATTACAGATGTGAGCCACCACGCCCGGCCACATGTCATGTCAACCTCCACTTTTTAAAGCTTTTTGTCTACAGTAACCATTTGAAGAACAGGAAAGAAAAAAGCAGTAATTAATGTTCTAGAGTACATTATAGGCAGGGAGACAGTACTGGCTGTCTACTCTTCAGGGTTCCCGTCTTCAGCCTGTCCAATGGAACCTGGATTGTTCAGATGCTGGGAGCATTTGTGCTTCCTGGTTCCCTCTCTAATCCCTGGGATGCATGTGCTGACTAATCTAAGCAGCCAAGGCGTGGGCCTGGACCAGCGGCATCCACATTGCCTGGAAACAGGTTAGAAATGATCTGCTTAGCCCCCTCCAGGCCTGCTGGACCAGAAACCCTGGGGCCCAGGAACCTGTGTTTTATCTAACTCTCTGGATAACGCTGATGCATCTCATGTCGAGAACCTTGGTCTAACTAGGGGTGTCGAAAGTTTTAGCTGCCCTGGGCCACATTAGAGGAAGAAGAATTGTCTTGGGCCTCATATAAAATACACTAACGATAGCTGATGAGCTAAAAAATAAATAAAAATTAAAAAAATAAAAATCTCAAAAAAAAATCTCATGATGTTTGAAAGTTTCTGAATTTCGGTTGTGGCACATTCAAAGCCATCCCAGGCTGCTGCAGCTTGGACAAGCTTGATCTAAACGAATCACAGCAATTCTGCTCCCTTTGCCAACTACTGGATTAGGCTGGGTAACTGTGACCAATGAGGGCTGAGAGGAAGTCTCCCAGGAGGCCTCCAGGAATGCTTTACTCGTTCGCATACAGAAAAGAATGAGAGGAAACATACATACCCCTCCTGTTTTTGGTTGAGAGATGGTCATGTCTTCGTATGACAGATACTTGGAACTGTAGCAGCAATCTTTTAACCATTAGGTGAGAAACCCAAAAACCAAGCCACTACGTCAAGGATGGCGGAAGGAAAGGGCCTGAAAGAGCATGGGTTCCTGGCGACCTTGGTGAGCCACCCAGTATTCCTAAAAATACCCAATCTCCAGACTCCTCTTTAAATAATGTATTTTTTTAAATCCCGCGTGTAAGCTATTTTCGGCTTCTGTTAACTCGCAATTCTGACTGTAACATATTTGTTTTCTTGTCAAGTCAAGCCTCAAAATAGTAAAAACAACATAATCTCATTTTTATGTTATATAACTTTATACATATTATATATAACTATGTATTGTAAATTAAACGTTTTCTTCTATTATCTAATATTTTAATGGGAAGTATTTCGGAAAGAATGAATCTATAACTTTATTAAGTGAAAGTACAAAGAACTTTTAGAATGGTGTTATTAAAATTATATTCTGGTTTTAGCTTTTATTAACTAGCTGTGGGATCCTGAACAAATCACTGAACAGATTTAGGCCTCAATTTTCTAACCTACGGAAGGAAAGGGTTAGATCACTGATATGATCCTGTCCAATCTAAGGAACTATACTCCTCATTTAATCTTTCAAGAGCTCTTCCAGGCCTCTGTGACAAACGTACATGTTTAATGAGTTCTTTCAACAAGGAATTTGTATGTGATGGCAACACTTCCTGTGATGCAACTGATTTATTAATTGCTAAGCAACTACCAACAGTTATTTCTAGACAAAGTGACACATTAGTGGTGCCCAGCTAAAAGGCTGAAAGCCCAGTGCTTGGTATGTGCTCCTGCCAACTCCCAATTATTTATAATAGCAGAAGGATGGCATTCTGTGGGTAAACACTCTAAATCCAAGGCCTCAAACTCACTTGCTGATTTAACTTCCTTGCCATGCAAAAGTCAAAAAGTACAAAATGCAAAACAACAGACTATTATTCATACCATCCACTGGAACATCAGTTAAACGAAGATAAAAAGCAAGACGTAGCTTAAGAGGAGGCAGTTGATCACTAAATCGCAAAGCTGATTTAAAAAAACATCAGCCTCAGAATTAAAAGCAGTTTATAGTTAGTTCTGGAAAGGCAAAGGTGTCTTCCCACTCTCACTGCAACTGACAATAAAGGCATATAAAAATCCTTATGAGAGCCAAGCACAGTGGCTCACGCCTGTAATCCCAGCACTTCAGGAGGCCAAGGCGGGCGGCATCACAAGACCAGGAGTTCAAGACCAGCCTGACCAACATGGTGAAACCCCTTCTCTACTAAAAACACAAAAATTAGCTGGGCATGGCTGGGCGCGGTGGCTCACGCCTATAACTCCAGAACTTTGGGAGGCCTAGGCGGGCAGATCACGAGGTGAGGAGATGAGACCATCCTGGCTAATGCAGTGAAACCCCGTCTCTACTAAAATACAAAAAAAAAAATTAGCTGGGCATGGTATCCATGCCCCTGTAATCCCAGCTACTTGGGGGGCCGAGGCAGGAGAATTGCTTGAACCCTGGAGGCAGAGGTTGCAGTGAGCCAAGATCGCACCACTGCACTCCAGCCTGGGTGACAGAGTGAGACTCCATCTCAAAATAAAAATTCTTACCAGCTGAATTATCAAGTAGACAGTATTTTCAGTGTAACATATTTTAAGACGTCTTAAAGCATTAGATGTCAAAGAGCTTTCCAACGGAACACAGAGGCACAACTTTGTTCTACTTTTCAGAGGGTAGCTACTAGAATGAAAATACTACTGGTTACTAAAACAGACCACCAACACCTGTGCCAACACAACCAGAGGGTTGACAACTGAATGTCAAACCAACACTTGGTCAGGCGCAGAAGGATCAATTGAGCCCAGGAGTTTGAGACCCAGCTTGGGCAACATAGTGAGACCCCATCTCTATTAAACACACACACACAGACACAGACGCGCACACACACACACTTTTTTTCTATCAAACTAGAACTACCAGTACAGGTAAAATCCTTATACAGTAAACATGTAATACAATGTAATACAACCACACTCATTGATGGTTACTTAACTTCCTTTTCTTTAATCAATATAATAATACTAAAACCGTATGTCCAAGCTGCACAGCTCAGATGCCAGAGTTGATGCACGACCGTCATGTAGTGATCACGCCAGGATCTACTTCAAAAAAAGGATCTGAGTCTGAAATGGAATGAACTGGCAGGACAAACTCAACTGGACGGGGCGGAAGCGGCATGCTTATACAAGATTTTCACCCTCATGCTGCTGCTTCTAGGTTCTGTGATATGCTTTAAAGGTCAGTTTAAAGATGAGTTTAACTGAGATAACTGGTCTGTTTAAGATGTGACAGGAAGAGAAACCTAGAAAAATAGCTGCTATTTGAAGACAACAGAAGCAGCATAAAGAGAGCACCTGCGGCTCAGCAGGGCAAGTATTCTGTCCGCCTACAACGCTGACTGCACTGTCAAATTCTTTAGCTATAGAGTGACAGGCAAAGGAAAGAAACAAAGCAATTCCACTTCTAGAAACTTATCCTAAGGAAAAAATTAGGAGAGTGCACCAAGAGTTAGCTTAAGGATATTCACTGCAGCTCTGGAAGAGCAGCAGGTGGGTCAAATATGTTATGCTACAGCTCTCCAGAGGCGCAGCATTAAGGGAACGGAAAATAATGATGAATTTAGACATGCAATGATGTCACACTGTAAGTGCAAAAGCAGCCTACTAAGAAATATAAACTATAGGCTGGGTGTGGTGGCTCACACCTGTACTCCTAACACGTTGGGAGGCTGAGGTGGCACGAGGTCAGGAGTTCGAGATCACCCTGGCCAATATGGTGAAACCCTGTCTCTACTAAAAATATAATAAATTAGCCAGGTGTGGTGGTGCGCGCCTGTAGTCCCAGCTATTCGGGAGGCTGAGGCAGGAGAATCGCTTGAACCCAGGAGGCAGAGGGTGCAGTGAACTGAGATCACGCCACTGCACTTCAGTCTGGGCGACAGAGTGAGACCCCGTCTCAAAAAAAAAAAAAAAAAAAGAAATACAAACTATAGGATCCCATTAAAAACTCTGTATATAGGTAGAGATAGATATATTTATATTTATTTATAGATCGAATTCTAGAAGTGTAAGAACCAATTGTGGCAAGATCATGAGTGCTTTTTTGTTTCTGTTTGTTTTGAGATGGAGTCTCGCTCTGTTGCCCAGGCTACAGTGCAGTGGCATACGATCTCGGCTCACTGCAACCTCTGCCTCCCGGGTTCAAGCAATTCTCCTGCCTTGGCCTCCCGAGTAGGTGGGACTACAGGTGCACACCACCACGCCCAGCTACTTTTTTGTATTTTTAGTAGAGACGGGGATTCACTATGTTGACCAGGCTGGTCTTGAACTCCTGACCTCAGGTGATCCACCTGTCTTTCCTTCCCAAAGTGCTGGAATTACAGGCATGAGCCACCACTCCAGGTCATGAGTGCTTTTATATTTCCTGTAATCCCTAATTTTGCTTTTCTATGATAAACATTTATCAGTTTTATAACAGGAAAAAAATTACTGAAATGATTAATAAGCAGAGATACAGAAAGTCCTTAACATTTTCAGATATTCATTATATACTATTTTCTATAAAGGGAAAAGAAAGATTTGCTTTAACAGGTCATTTTGGCAATATGAAATAGCTTTGTTATATGGAGCTGGCATTTATAATAGTACTACAAGTAATGGAATTTCGTCTATGGAAAAATTTGCACAAATACTGAAACTGTTGACATGAGAGAATAAGAGATACTTACGGCTGAGTGAAGTCACGAGTGATGAAATCAGAACTCTTGAAAAGTAGAAAGATGTCGCTGAGGGTTTTACATTTCAGAGAACTATTCATTGCTATCCAATACGCATCCTAAAGAATGAAGCACATGCTATTTAGTCCATATTCCACGTTGGCTGCTACGAATGCTCAGGCCTATAACAAAATCAATAATGCATATCACCTCAAGGGTTTAAAGAAGAAAGTCAAGTAAATGTTAGCAGCACTGTCAAATGTTAAATTATGCTTAACAGCAAAGACCACCACCATTGCATTTCGGACACTCGGTTACAACACTGAGATGCCAGGGTCCTCACATTTCAGCCCAGGCCTAAGCACTTCCCCATGTTTTTCTTACTGATAATAGAAGAGAGGAAAACGAAGTGTCAGAAACATTGACATTTTGGCTACAAGATTAAGGTGGTAAAGAAATAGTTTGACCAGCTACTCTCCAAGAAAAGGGACATCAATTTCCACCCTTCCCGTTTCTGGGGAGTGGCAGCCAAACACCTGAACTTTGGCGGCTAGAGCTGTTACACTAACATCTATCAAATCTGAAAGAGAAGGAGGTGAGCTATTCTGAACCACTACAACTTTAAACGGTAAATGTCTCATACATAAGAACAAAAGACGGGAAGGCAAATGCAAAGTAGGCACAAAGCTCAGCGGAACATAGCTAAAAATTTTTTGGCACGTTTCTGAAAAGGGCAGAGTATGAATTTCCTCAGAATTCTAAAACAATCAGCAACACAGGAGGTGAAAACTACCTTTTGGCAGAATACATGGTATTTCACAGACCCAGGAAAGTGTATAGCAAAATCCGGAAGGTAAAATAGTAGAGGGAAATTAATAATAAATTCCACGGCATTTTTCCTAGAATTAGGAATATAATTAGACCCTCTGTAGGGATATGAAATGAAATAAATAGCAAAACAAAGAACATTCAAACAGTAAGAGAATTACTTATGTGTTCCTACCCTTGGGGCACTCCAGTTAAGCTTAGGAAAGACACTGCCCCCGAGGGAATTGATAGCTTCCTGGACTTGAGTGGCAAACTCAGGAAATTCTGGTGCCTACAGAGAGATAAGAAACCATTGGGTACGTCAGTATCATCACAGTATCTATGGAAAACAAGATCAAAATCTCAAGGTTATAGCTGAGGGTGTTAAAAACAGAATTTAGAATACAAATTACTATCAGAATTTCTGAACTCAGTGAAATAAAATCAATGATCAAGTACCTTTACCAAAAAGAGAAATAAAATAATCAGCTGCTTAAATGGCATTTTCCAGACAATCAAAGCCTGCAAAGCTGAAATGACAATCACGAGGCTTCTGAGGATGTGAGGAAGGAATGAATGGTTCTCTGTACACCGACGTAAAATGAGTATTCATCGAGAGAAAAGAGACAGGTGGAATATCACCTGTACCAATACTCCAGTTGTCAGAAATAACATCCCTGCTTGAAGAGCTTGAACCCCTTCCACTTGTAGGGAGAGTCCTAGACATACAGCATCCCCCAAAGCCACAGAGACAATGAAAAATAAATGACGCGGCAAACTGTATTTAAACACTGCTATTTCCAGACACGTTTTAAAACAAGCAAAACTCAAAATCTGAACCTCGGTCAAGTTAAAACGTTCTTTCCTTTTTGGATGATTTTAAAAATGCATATTTTATATAAGCAAGTGACCAAAACATTCTGTATGTTTGTTTCAACCCAGAAGTCAACAGAAATACTGCTGCTAAACAGGAACTTAAGCCTGATGTCATTATGTCCTGTCACGATCACAGGAGCTTATGGACATAAGCAAGAAAAAAGGTAAGTAAGAGAGGGGGAAGTGGGGCCCTCAAAAGACATAAGAAAACAAAAACATTAACAGATTCTCTACGCAGTCATTAATTTTCATTATATCCTGTAAAGAGGATTGCTGCCCCCTATAGGGCAACTATAAGTTCTGAAAAAAATCCAGTAACCAACTTCTTCCATAGGAAAAAAAAAAGACAGACTACATCTTGACTTAACTAAACTACACATTCAAGATTACATCAAATAGTTATGTGGATCCCCAAGATCTAACCCAGCTATGTGAGAGAAAAAACTGTGACAAGAGTCTGAGAAAAGACCAAAGAAATGCGTTTTAAAACATGGTCATATATCCCCCAAAACAAGAAACAGCTTTGAGCAAAAGGTTAGGGAAGAAAAATGAGAGCTTAAGGCCCAATTAGGCTGCCTTTCTTTCTGCTACAGATAAATCTGACCTCTAGACTGGTTAATAACAGTATCTTTTAATTACTTGATCGGCTGCCCTTCTATCTATTTTCCACTAGACGACTTCAGCTTAGACACATGAAATGAGACTAGAGTAATTTAGAGGCTTTCAGAATGAACAGCAGCACTGAGTCCTTGATTTTCCATTCATCTCTCCCCACCCAAAGCAATCATGATTTATGGGAGGCCATTTCCTTATAATTGCCTGAAGCAGCTGACTTGGCTCCCCTACCGCTCTAGCCATAAACCCCACTCCTGTGAGATGGGCACTGGCAGTATTTCCTACGAATGGCATTGCTGCACAAACTTTACAACACGAAAGGATTCAACCTTCAAAGATAAAGCAATTTCATTTTCCTATCCCATAGAACTTGACATCTAAGGATTACTTTATATGCATGCCTTTTAAAAGATGTGATCAGTTCCCTCAAATCCTCAAAATTACTCAACTTTAGGATAACCTGCCATAAGAATCCTAAAACAAATTTAAATTATAGAAAGTTTATGCACAGTCTGAAGTGGAAGCCTATGTACTGTTTATATACAGCACAATCTTCTAGGTTATCTGTTTTTAGCCAGGTCTGTGAGCTACTTTACAACCTGGCAAATTCTAGGTAAGTGATAGTGACATGAACTAATTCTTATGGACATGTAATTTCTATCTCATCTGGAAGAGGTCCAATTGTCTTTTCTCCCATACTGCAGGGAGGCAAAACCAGTTTTGCCTCATTTACATACCTATTTCAATATTCCTGATCTACAAATATAACTTTTCTTTGGATTCTCTTTTGAACCAGTTCTAACGTCTGGTTCCCTCATGCGTTAAATAACGTCTTCAACATGCATTAAAGAGTTTTATATGAGTCATGATTTTTACCATTTTCTATAAATTATCTATCAAAATCAGGGAACTAACATTGACACAATAGAGATCTTATTCAAAATTTGCCAAGTGTTCTAATAACGTCTTTTACAGAAAAAAAAAAAATTGAAACTTTTTTTCTGGTCCAGGCATCCAGTCTAGCTAGAATCATGGACTAAATCTAGTTGTCAGGTCTCTATAATCTTCTTCAATCTGTGGCAGTTCCTCTCTCTGTTGTTCTTACCATTTATGACCTTGATGTTTTTGAAAAGTTCAGGGCAACTACTCTATACAATTTCTAAAAGTTGAGTCTGTTGGATGTCTCCTCCCAAGTAGACTCAGGCTGTGCAGCTGTGACAGGTGGTGTCCTTCCCATGCATCGTATTGGGAGGCACACATGACAGGTCTGTCCCGTCACTGTCGAGGTTAATACTGATCACTTGGCTGCCAGGTCTTTCCATGGTAACATTACTATTTTTCCTTTGCGCAAATAGTAAGTAATTTGGGTGAAGATACTTTGAGAAGATGGATATATCCTCTTTCTCACTGTATATTCACCCACTAGTTTTAGCATCTATTCAATCAAATATTATTACCATGGTTGCCAAATAGTAATTCCTAATTCCATCATTCCTTCTACATGTATTAGTTAGTGCCTTTACTACCATAAAAACAAGCTTCCTTTTTCCCCCACTTATTTAATCACTTATGTATGTCACTATGGGATCAGCAATTCTTATTTTAGTCAATAGGTCATAATCTATTCCTATGACTACACATGGAGTATCCCTCATCCAAAATGGGTAAGACCAGAAGTGTTTTGGATTTCAGAATATTTGCATATACATAATGGGGATGGGACCCAAATCTAAACACAAAAGTCATGACGTTTCATACACACCTTATGTACATGGCCTGAAGGTAATTTCATTTTCCCTTGGGGAGGCTGAATGAGCTGGGTTATGCACATACATTGTGGCTGTCCCTGTCACATGGGGTCAGGTGTAGAATTTTCCACTTGTGGTGTCATGTCAGTGCTCATGAAGTTTTGGGAGCTAGGCATGGTGGCACATACCTGCAGTACCTGCTACTCAGGAAGCTGAAGCAGAAGGATCACATGAGCCCAGAGGTTTGAGTGCAGCCTGGGCAACACAGTGAGACCACCCAGTCTCTAAAAAAGTTTTGGATTTTGGAGCATTTTCGATTTTGAATTTGGGGATTAGGAATGCTCAAACTGTATTTGTTACGATGCTCATATTTTTATACACGAGAGCCCAAAGCTGGCTTCTGGCATCTTTTTGTCATGTCCCATCATTGTTTCAGCACTTCCATAGTTCCTGGCACAGGCTGTTGCAGGCTCATTTTTACTTTCCCAACCCAAGTCCGGAATATCTCCAAGAAGCTTCAATTTTGTTTAGTGGAGATTGGTATTTAGAAACCAAGATCAAGGCATCAGGTGTGCTCACTGATACCAGGATGTTACATGTCAATGATTCTAAAACTTCTTAGTGAACACAGTTTGGTAAATACACACACACACACACACACACACACACACACACACACACACACCCCTTTATATTATTAATTGCTGTATCTATCATCTATACATTTTTTATTTTATTTTTTTGAGACAGAGTCTCTCTGTCACCCAGGCTGGAATGCAGTGGCGCAATCTTGGCTCACTGCAACCTCCACCTCCTGGGCTCAAGCAATTCTCCCGCCTCAGTCTCCTGAGTAGCTGGGATTACAGGTGACTGCCACCATGCCTGGCTAGCTTTTTGTATTTTTAGTAGAGACGGGGTTTCACCATGTCGGTCAGATGTGAGGTCACTCCTGACCTCAAGTGATCCACCTGCCTTGGTCTCCCAAAGTGCTGGGATTACAGGTGTCGTCAGCCACTGCGCCAGGCCCATCTACACACATTTAAAAATGAGTTGATACTGATACTCCCCACCACTATTAAGATCCAGGTCAGATACCACTTGTCCTGTCAGGCATTCCGGTGCCCTCGGCTGTAACTACTCTCTCTGATCTGACAGCACTGTCATCTCCCCCTGCCTGTGTCACCTTTCCCCTGGTTTACAAACTCCCTAATAGTGGGAATCAAATCATATTCATCTGTGTTCATCTCACAGAATCCAGTTTAGTGCCTGAGTATGGCAGATAAGTAACATTTACATGACACGGAATGGAATTTTCATAAAATGAGAGTGATCTGAATGGCATCTGGAGTAAATGAAACATGCAAACTTTCCACTTAGGCATGTGCTGGCAGGCTTCCCTTTTTACAACTAAAGAAACATGTCAGTTTTGAGCAGCTCCACTTCTTTTTTTTTCTTCTACCCCAGCAATCATATCTCTCATTAAAATGAACAAGTATCTTCTTATTTAGAGCTAGATTAGAACAAACCCTCCCACAAAGCTGGTTTTCTATATTTCTGCCTTTACATTTACTTGTAAGGAGTTTCACTAAAAACCTTTCCCTTTTAACTCAAGGTATGAGGAGTTTCGTTCACCTATTTTTAGAAATAGATCATCTGCTTCACCCACTCCTTTAAAAATATCTTCATTAAAAAAATTTTAGGTTAACTTTCACAACGGCACTCTTATCCTAAAACACTGTGATATGCTTGATAACCTCTACATTTTTATGTAAAACACTGGTAAAAGTCACATACCTCTCTACTCTCGCTTGAAAGAAACAATAATTTTTATGCCATTTAAATATACTTGAGGCCAGGCACTGTGGCTCACAGCTGTAATCCCAGCACTTTGGGAGACCAATGCGGGCATATCACATGAGGTCAGGAGTTCGAGTTCACCCTGGCTAACATGATGAAACCCTGTCACTACTAAAAATACAAAAATTAGCCGGGCTTGGTGTCAGGTGCCTGTAATCCTAGTTACTCAGGAGGCTGAGGCAGGAGAATAGCTTGAACCTGGGAGGCAGAGGTTGCAGTGAGCCAAGATCACACCACTGCATTTCAGCCCGGGCAACAGAGCAAGACTCTGTCTCAAAAATAAACAAAATAAATGACTAACTAAATATAAATAAATACACTTGAATAAGGAAATACAGATTTTCAATTTAATTTATGTTCCAGAGATTTAGGAATCTCAAAGTTTAATGTTAGGCGTAATTCCTTCTTGCAGAGCGTCAGAGCTTAACAGAAATAAGTCAAGGCATCAAATATGCACTCGAAATATTTCCTTTGCCATCAAATATGCACTCGAAATATTTCCTTTGCAATTAAAGAGAAAAAGGGCAAAATCATGTCTGCCTGCTAAATGAGGCTTCAAGTTATTTTTCAAAATAAAAATGACAGCCCATAGGGAAAATAATATATGAAATGGCGACTAACTAGGAAATTAGAGAGGTACGCACTTAAACCCTGGTGCTAACCCTTGTGTGACAGTGTGAGGCTGTCCCTACACTGAGTCTGCTGTGCTCTTACCGTAAGCGTGGCTGTGTTCTCATCATCAGACCACTGCATGAAAAAGAGGAAAAAACAAAACATTACATTTAAATACTGCACTGGGCTTCAAACAGCAGTGCTCCACCTAAAAATTATAAATCAAACAGGAGATATCTTTTCCTGAACAGAGTATATGTGCAAATATATGTCAAAGTAAGATTCTCATGTAGTTTCTCATTTTATCAGATGTAAGATAAGATCTAAAAGTCAGAACCATCTCAGAGATCATTTAAATTACAACAGTCTACAGAACAGATTATTTTATTTGGTACCAACCTGTATTTCTTCTGCTTCATCATCACTGTCTGGCTGAGAATGTGCTGGTGGATCGTCCCTAAAAAAACACAAACAAACATCAAGAAAGAAAAGGACTTGGGTACTGTGCGGTCCTAATTTAGGGGTACTGAGTATATGTTTTAAAATAACCTTAAAATTAGGCTAGGTGTGGTGGCTCACACCTATAATCCCAGCACTTTGGGAGGCTGAGGCAAGTGGATGGCTTGAGCTCAGGAGGTAGAGATCAGCTTGGGCAACATGGCAAAACCCTGTCTCTATAAAAAATACAGAAATTAGCTGGGCGAGGTGACATGTGCCTGTAGTTCCAGCTATTTGGGCACTGAGGTGGGAGGATCGATCACTTGAACATGGGAGGTCAAGGCTGCAGTGAGTTAAGATCATGCCACTGTACTCCAGCCTGGGTGACAACATAAAACACTGTCTCAAAAATACATAAATGAATAAACAAACAAATAAATAAATAAAAATGAAAGCCTTAAAATTGGAGAATAAGGCCAGTCATGGTGGCTCACATCTATAATTCCAGCACTTTGAGAGGCTGAGATGGGAGGACTGCTTAAGCCCAGGAGTTTGAGACCAGCCTGGGTAACACAGAGACCCTGTCTTTACAAAAAATTAAAAATTAGCCAGGTGTAGAGAACACTTGTGGTCACAGCTATACAGGACACTGACGCAAAAGGATCCCTTGAGCGCAGGAGTCTTGAGGCTGCAGTGACCTATGATCTCACCACTGCACTATAGCCTGGGCAAGACAACGAGACCCTGTCTCAGAAAAAGAAGAAAAAAATAAATGAGAGTACACTTGCACGAAGAGCTGACAGAATAAAACCCTTCTGTCCTGTTCTCAGGTATCATTAAAAACAAGGGAAAGAGAAAAAAACTCCATCTCTGATAATACTGAGAATCATCTAGACTCTGAAACTCAGTATGTGAGAAAGTTCTGTCAAGAAAGGGAAGATTGAATAGGATAAGGAAAGACACCAGAAGCGAATGTCTGAAGAGCTGTCTACACAGATGATAGAACTACTCTGGGGGCAAAACCAAGAATCTTTTCTTTGCACAATGAAAACATGGTGTGCGGGCTGGTGTCAGGAATTAATTCTGGATCTAGACTGAACCACAGCAAAGGGTAAGAGAGAGGAAAATAAACAGGCACACGGTCTTTGAAGAAGACAGAAGCAAAGCAAGGTGTGGAGTCCTAATTAGGGGAAAGGAGTTGGACTGGCAGGAGCAGGGGAAAGCAAAAAGACAAGGTAGATAAGCTCTAAGTCTGCCTTTCTTCATGGTCCAGGACACACACCCCTCCTGCACAGATAACTCACTATCTTTCCATGCCCAGCTATCACTGGACCCTCAAAGGATAGAAAAAGGCAAGTGAGCTCACTGCAATACTGCACAAAGCCTTCTTCAGGGCACAACACAAATACTATCTTATAAAAATCCCCAGCAAGCCTTTGTCTCCCCACAGTCAGCTCCTTTCTTGCTGACCTGCCCATTGCACCCTTGCAACATATTTTCATACTTTCTCTAATAAATTTGCCTTTCTCTACAGCCAACTATCATGGCAAATTCTTCTTACTACCCACATCACTAGCCCCAGATAGTCGCTGATCACCTGCAACACGAGGGCTGAAAAGGCCACCCAGCAGCTCATCTTCATTGCCCAGAGGGAATCAGAGGCTGAAAGAACTCAGAGGGAAGACTCAGAACACCACCCTGGCCCCTCCTTAACACACAAGTACAAATAACCAGCCCAGGAAGAACTCATATCATTGAGAAAAATAATCGTAAGAACCAGCATAGCAGTTATGCAAAGACTAAAGAAGGAAAAGGAAGGGGAAGATTCTGGTTAAACATGTGCTTTTATCTCTATGTTCCCTCTGGAAACTCTACTAAAGTGAGAGGAAAGATCCCAAGGACAATACTAAGTGAAAAGGAATCAACCACAGAAGAAAGATGGCAACAACAGTTTGGAAAACAGAAAGTCAAGGGGAGGGATAAGTCAAGCAGCAACAGGTTAGAACTTAGAGTTATCCTGGAACATGGCACTGAAGCTCTGAAGGCCATCCAGGGAGCAGTGAGACACATCCATCTCCTTGCCCTGCACACCCTAGCAACGAATCCTCCTCAGCCCCTTTGGTAAGCAGATTTATTCTCTGGAAAAAATGAACTCAAGAGGGTTCAGGTACACAACGGCCCAGATGAATAACGGGGGTGAAATGCTGGACTGGACTATGGTGAGAAGTTATGTGAAAGTCAAACCGAACACTGCGACCCCTAGTCCCCTTCCTTCCACCCTGCTCCCACAACACAGACAGATGAAAGGATTCTTCCGGGCAGAAACTGAGCAACCCCAGAGGACACACCATGATCTGGGAACCTCCCATCAATGCTTGCTGCCTGCTGGCACCCTCAGGCATCAAGCTCCACCCAGGTACACAAAGTCTGCAAAGGTCTGTCTGTGTGTGTCCTCCTCACTCCTAAATAGGAATGAAGGCCTACAACGATTAGAAAACAGAAGAAAAACTCCAAGATGAAAAGTGTTTTCAAAAAGGAGAGAAAAAAGGGGCATGGAAGAAAAAAAGACAATAAAGGGACCAGATGAAAGATATTTTTGAAAATCATTCATACCCTCAAATATAATAAAAGATGTCACATCCATTAAGGGAGAAGAGGAGGCCATAAAAAAGGAACAGAGGAACTTGCAGACACTGAAAACATGACAGTTGAAATTTTAAAATTCAACAGAATGGAAAAATAATTACCTAGAATTAGAACCAAAAAGACAAGGAAAGAGAAAATAGAGAAGAAATAACAAAATTCAGAGAATTAAGCCAAAAGATCAAACACCAAAATAACAGGAGGTTCAGAAAGAGAAGCAAGAAATTAGAGGAAATTATCAAAGATTCTTTTTTAATAGCCCAAAACAGGAAAATTAAGTCTTTAGAATGAAAGGGCTCACCACATACTTAACACAATAAATGGAGAAAAAATACCTTAAATGGGCAAAAATTGACACAATAATGCTTCCAATCTTTTTTTTTTTTTTTTTTTTTTTTCAGGTTAAGAGTCTCAAGCCTCGCCCAGGCTGGAGTGCAGTGGTGCAATCTCCGCTCTGCAAGCTCTGCCTCCCCACTGCAAGCTCTGCCTCCCGGGTTCACACCATTCTCCTGCCTCAGCATCCCAAGCAGCTGGGACTACAGGCGCCGGCCACCATGCCCGGCTAATTTTTTGTATTTTTAGTAGAGACGGGGTTTCACTATATTAGCCAGGATGGTCTCGATCTCCTGACCTCGTGATCTGCCTGCCTCAGCCTCCCAAAGTGCTGGGATTACAGGCGAGAGCCATCACGCCCAGCCACGCTTCCAATCTCTTTAGACATGCCCTTTGGCAGAGTGACTTTGCCACTCTTCCCATCTAGAAATGGCATTTATTTTCCCATTCCTCTAATTCAGACTGGCTTCAAGAGTCATTCTTGGCTGGGCGTGGTGGCTCATGCCTGTAATCCCAGGACTCTGGGAGGCTGAGGCGAGTGGAACACTTGAGGTCAGGAGTTCAGGACCAGCCAGGCCAACATGGAGAAACCCCATCTTTACTAAAAACACAAAAATTAGCTGGGCGTGGTGGCGCGCACCTGTAATCCCAGCTACTTCGGAGGTTGAGGCAGGAGAATTGCTTGAACCTGGGAGGCAGAGGTTGTAGTGAGCCAAGACGGTGCAACTCAACTCCAAGAGAGAAACTGTCTCAAAAAAAAAAAAAAAAAAAAAAATACAGTGGGCTGTGTCTTGGAAACCAGAGGGCAATTTTCTGCCACATGAAGATAAAAAACTACTCCCCATCAGGTCTAAGAGAAGAATAAAAATTTTTTCAGACATGCCAAGACCCAAAAGCTTTTCCTCCTATGCATTCCAGAGCATGTGCTCCAATAAAGCAAACTGAATAAACTAAGAGAACAATAATGTAGAATCCAAGGCACAGAAAATTTAGCACAGAACAAAAGTCCCAAGTTGACAACTGTACACCAGACCTGCAGAACTGCCAGATCCAATGGGAACAGGAAAATGGAAGATCGCTAAAATGAGATCTCCAGGAAAAGAAAAACGCAACTGCTAGGTTCGGAACTGTACTTGAAGGTTTAGAAAAATAGCTAAAAGACCTATGACCTGTCTATTGCTGCATTTGTAAGATATTAGTGATAGACACAAAATATAAAGCACATTTTAAAAACATGATTATTGGTTCCAGGGAAAACAAAGTTATTTCAAAAAAGAAAAGATAATCATAGTACACAATGTGGCTCTGTAGTCAATGGTAATGACACGGTATTGTAAACATCGACTACTGATTTAACCAAAAATTGTAAGGAAGATAAAGAGGCCAGGCATGGTGGCTCACACCTGTAATCCCAGAACTTTGGGAAGCCAAGTGGGTGTATTCCTTGAGCCCACGAGTTCAAGACCAGCCAGGGCAACATGGCGAAACCCTCTCTGTACAAAAAAGTAAAATTAGCCAGGCATGGTGGCACATGTTTGTAGTCCCAGCTACTCAGGAGGATAACATGGGAGGATTGCTTGAACCCAGAAGGAAGAGGTTGCAGTGAGTCCAGATCACACCACTGCACTCCAGCCTGGGCAACAGAGTGAGACTTGGACTCAAAAAAGATAAAAAGGCTATAACAGAGCTAAATCTTAAAACCTACAAACATCGTAACGGAAAGTCAAGAAATAACATTAAAGATGGAGATAATATTAAGAAATATGAGTGTGAGTATATTAAGAAATATGAAGCTACAGGGAGTAATTCCATTCACATCTGCTGAGGGTGCACTGTGTGCTGAGTGTTTTTCAGAATAGTAGTAATCACTGGAAAGGCACACCATATGCTCCTCTGCAGATCCAGAAATTAATAATCTGGCTTATCAATCAGTCTGCTGTGACTCTGGTTAACATGTGTCAGTTCCCCAATTTTGTTTGTTTGTTTGTTGGTTTTGAGACAGAGTCTCGCTCTGTTGCCCAGGCTGGAGCACAGTAGCACGAT